ACCATGAGAATTGTCAGAAAGTCTTAAGGATTCGAAAAAATGGGGGCATAAACATCGTCCTAATACGAGGGTAACACTGAAAGTTCTTAGAAAATCAAAAACTGAAAAAATACCAAGTCATTAGTGTTATTATATCTTTTCAAAATAGTGTCCATTTACTTGATGTACATCGCTGCATCCGATGGAACCACTAAGAAAAGCACTTTGCCCACTCGTCCTTGAAGGTCTCTTAGATGGTATTTTGAAACGCAGCCACTGCTTCCTCGGCGTCCATAAAACGTATCCCTCGAAGTTTTTCTTTTATTTTCGGAAACAAATAAAAATCGCAAGGTGCAAGGTCGGGGCTACAGGGCGGGTGACCCAGTAATTCCACGTCTGGCGTCGCCAAGTAGTCGATTGTTTTCGTTGTCGTGGTGATGGAGGATCCTAATGACCTGTCCTTCCGAAGAACAAGGCCAGCGTCTTTTTTCCCACGCTTTGACCTCTCACTCACTGGAAACTCTTCGGAAGAAAACATCCAGACAGCAGTTTGTTTTCTTAGTTTCAGGATCATAACAATAAATGTAGCTTTCGTCACCTGTAAGTATGTTGAACACAGCATTTGAGTCACCTCCGTTAAATCTTTGAACCATTTCACGGCACCAAGTAACACGACGGAGTTTTTGGGCCTCTGTAAAAATATGAGGTATCCACCGTGCACAAAGCTTCCTGACCGCTACATGTTCTTGGAGGATTTTGTGTACTTGACTCATGTCGATGCCTAAGCTTGTTCTAATCTGCTGATAATTCACTCTTTTGTCAGTCTCTATCATATGCCGCACAACACTGATGTTATCTTCAGTCGTCGCCGTAGAAGACGGGACTGTCTTCTTTACGCAGATCATCGGTGAGATTAGTGCGACCACGTTTAAATTCATTAAACCAGTTGAATCAGCTAATCGAAGTCTATCATAACCACGGTAATATTATCTATACAGTATTGTAACTCGGCCGTATCTTTGAAATAAATGCCTACAGCAGCGCGGTACGTAAACATGCAATAGGGCTGCCTGCCTTCAGCATTACATTTACCTACTTTGTGTTTCCATCTAGTTTTATGATTGTAAATATACTTTTTTTACATAATCAAATATAATAGGTACTTTGAAAATTCAATAGGAAGTGTTCAATAAAAATGCGTATCGTTTTTTGATTGGTAGATTTAATTAAAATACCATGTTTATGTATGAATAACAAATCGGTCTTATAAATTTGCGACCGATAAATATTCGCGCCGCGGCTGAGACGTACGAATTACTTTATTATTAAATTTTTAAGTATAAAAAATCCGCATTATAATATAAAGCTTAATTAAAAATTATTTTGGGAAACATGGACAAGGTGGAGAAAAGTAATATCTTTTACTTGGATAAAGAGGTATCTATAACCAAGTAAAAGATATTTTATAATTTATATGTTTGGTTTTAAATGAAGTTCGCATTTATTATTTCTTTATTGTTATTCTATTATTTATTTCCTCCATTTTTTATATATATTCCACAAAATCATCACTGCGGCACTCACGACTGTCTGCATGCCGAGCGCATGCCGAGATCGAGGCGCGTAGGCATAGCTCTCGCTTCGTGCGTTTGTATGAAGTTGGAATACTGTATAGATAAAATTACCGTGTCATAACTTTCTTGTTGACTTAATACATAAACACTCACGCCTGTCACCCAGAGGGGTAGGCAGAGACTACAGACTATCATTTAGCACGATCCTGACACACCTTTCTCGCCTCTTCCACATCCATATACCTACGCATACATGCTCGTCGGTTAAGGGTACTCTTAATTTGGCCCATTTTTAGTATATCGCCAATTTGGTCGACAAACTTCCGCCTAGGACGTCCCTTTCCGACTCTTCCATTCACTTCTGCAACATATATTTGCTTTGTCAGTCTTTCCGCATTCATTCTTTCTACATGACCAAACCACCGAAGCATTCCTTTCTTAATCCTGGTCACCGCATCATCTTGCAAACCACACTCTTCTTTTATCATACAGTTTCTCACCCTGTCACTCAGATTCAGCCCTAACATACTCCTTAGCGACCGCATTTCTACTGCATTTATTCTACTCTCGTGCTTCTTCTGCCACACCCAACTTTCACTACCATACGTTAAAGTAGGGACTAATACAGCACTGTGAATTGCCATACGTGCCTTTTTTGACACATTCTGACTTTTCACAATAGAGTGTAGAGCCCCATTTACTTTATTTCCTGCATTCACTCGTCGTTCAATTCCTTATCATATCTCCCATCCCTGCTGAATACACATCCCAAATATACGAACTCATACACTTGCTCAATTAACTCTCCTTCTATTCTTATTTCACATACCGTTTTGCTTTCATCTCTTTCAAAAACCATCACTTTCGTCTTACTTGCGTTCACTTTCATTCCCCTTTCTTTTAATGACCCGTTCATTAATGTAACCATCATTTGCAACTCGGCCGCCGACGACGCAAGTATGACTTGATCATCGGCGTACAAAAGGCATTTGATGGTTAACTCACCCATTCTTAACCCGCATTCTTCAACTTTCAAATTTTCCAAACAGCTGTCCATAAATAGGTTGAACAGCCACGGGGAAGCTACACAGCCCTGTCTGACACCTTTATGGATGCCAAACCAGTCCGAGTAGACCCCGTTGATTCTAACACAAGCACTCGAGTCCCTATACAGAGACTTTAATGCCTGTATCAAACCTTGTTGTCTTAAATGACATCTAAAGTCATAAAAACTCATTAATTTCATTACAGTCCATAAAAATCCACCGCTGAACATAAACCTCCCATAGATTGCCTCACAATACCCGAGTATTTGTTGAAGCTGCCACGTCGAGGAGACGGGTTGCCAACGGCAGTTTTATTTACTCACTATTTATTACTAGGTCGACACTTTTTTAGAACTGGCCACTTGTAAATAATATAATAAAAAAATAAGTTCTAATTTCGAAAATGGAACTCTTTGCCAATATTATTGTGTAGGTATGTATTTTATTAATTTGTTATTTGTTTACGATTTGACGGAAAATTTAAAATTTTCTGTGTCACGTCAGCATGAATTTAACGCGAGAAAATTTTCGTACCATGATTTTTTATGACTTTCGATGTCATTTAAGTCAACAAGAAAGTTATGATAGACTTCGATTATCTTGGAACAAGTTTAGGAGAAACGACCTCGCATTAGGATCCTCCATCACCACGACAACTCCTCGTCGCACACCGCCAAGCAAACAATCGACTACTTGGCGACGCCAGACGTGGAATTACTGGGTCACCCGCCCTGTAGCCCCGACCTTGCACCTTGCGATTTTTATTTGTTTCCGAAAATAAAAGAAAAACTTCGAGGGAAACGTTTTATGGACGCCGAGGTAGCAGTGGCTGCGTTTCAAAATACCATCTAAGAGACCTACAAGGACGAGTGGGCAAAGTGCTTTTCTTAGTGGTTCCATCGGATGCAGCGATGTACATCAAGTAAATGGACACTATTTTGAAACGATATAATAACACTAATGACTTGGTATTTTTTCAGTTTTTGATTTTCTAAGAACTTTCAATGTTACCCTCGTATTAGGACGATGTTTATACCCCATTTTTCCGAATCCTTAAGATTTTCTGACAATTCTCATGGTCGTTTAAGATAACAAGCCTCTCATCCTTTAATTACTCCGGCTCTCTTACACTTCAGAACGGAACACATTAGTGCACAATGCCGCTTGGCGATCAAAATAAGCAAGGTGTTACCAACCCAGAAGACATCCTGACCAGAGTCCTACTGCCTAGGTTACATAACTCGTGGATCTCGCGAGGAAACTTGCTGATACACAAACAACACTTTTAATATTTCATTATGTAACTCTATTAATATCTGGTGTGAATGGGCTTGTTTATGGCTAAACATTGCTTTCCATTACCTTCTTTGTCGCACGTTCGATGTACTTTCACTGCGTTATTACCTCAGGTTATTACACATTCAAATTATGATTGCTTACGTAATTCGTATTATATGATTCAGTAGACTGCGGACACTACAATACATAAATAAATCAAGACTATACAAAAATAATCCGACTATTTTTAAAATAGTAATTAGACTAAAGCCGCTATTACGTTATCATATTGTCTTCATATTTTTTATTGAATAACAGTGACAAACGAACACAAAGTCCACCTGATGGTAAGGGATATGGCTCATAGACATCTATATCTTCCTCAGTTAAAAATCAAAATGCAAATGCGTTGTCACACCTGAGGACAAAGATGGTATTCCTCGTTTACAGTACCAAAAAATGGCCTCTGGTTCTCTAAACTCTCCATACGAAACACAGCAGCATTAAATTACTATTTTACGCTGGTATTCGTTGAGAGTGTAGATCCACCCCGTACGAGCCTACCTATTCGTGCTACAACCATAATTTAGCTGCAGCGTGACTATATCACATATAAACATAGGAATATGATATCAATACCTCTTTATTATTATAATAGTCTGTGATAGCTATCCATCCATTATAGGTACATATTAATCTGTATCTCTCTCGGTAGATAGTAATAGTATAGTAGTTTGTACACCGTATGATGTACCAATGAACCTTCATATTCACTCTGGTTGTAAAACGGTACAGTTATTTATACTGCCATGGCTCTACCACGTATAAACATCATAGAAATATTACATCAATGTCTCTCATTAAAGTCAGTAATCCATCAAATATACATATTACTCTGTATCTCCCTCTCGGTAGATAATAATATTATCCTGAGCACTGCAGATGTACTAAAGAATCTTTATATTCACTCAAGATATACATTTGTGTATACGGCCACTAATGGTGACTAACACTTTCATCATCAGTAATAGATTTTATTGGCGGTTTCAGGTTAAATACTTAGGCCAGAGCGACGCGCGGGGGGTTATGGGGTATCAAACACACGAGGAAACCTGTAGACCTGATGGTAGCTGCCGCTAAAGCTTTGCCTCCAGGTGAGAATTATTTTCTAATCAGAACGAAATGACATAGAAATGTGAAAGAGAAAAAGAAGATACATACTTACTGCAACTATATCATAATTCATCCGAAAATAAAAATCATCTCCTACGAGTATTTTAATGGTGAAATATGAAAAAAATTGATTCTTTTGGCATCAACATTTTTTAACAATCTATAGATTTTTAGACATTTAATATTTATATATATAAACAATATGTTAGTAAAATTTTTGACATGTTGTATTTATTGTTATTTAACAACTTAAAGCTTAAATATTTTTGAACAGGTACATAATCAATTTTCTTCATAAGTTATTTCATTAAATTATATTAATAATATTTTAATGTTTACTGTTTATATATTGCACACCATTATCATGGTAGTATGTAAGGTATCATTAATAATTAATAACATCATAATATTATGTACATATACATTCTAGAAATAAATAAATTTGAATTTGAAGCGTGAAATAGCAGCTAAATGCTGCTATGTTTCGTGAGTGTAGAGAACCGGAGACCGTTTTTTTTATAGAAGAGGGGGCAAACGAGCATGCGGCTCACCTGATGTTAAGTGACTACCGCCGCCCATAATCAACCGCAACACCAGGGGAATTGCAGGTGCGTTGCCGGCCCTTTAGAAAGGAGTAAGCTCTTTTCTTGAAGGTCCCCAGGTCGTATCGGTCCGGAAAAATCGCCGGTGGTAAACTATTCCACAGAGAGGTCGTACGCGGAAGAAAACTCCTTTTGAAACGTACAGTGGTGGACCGCCAAGCATCCAGATGATGTAGATGGTATCGGGACGTTCGCCGCGTAGTGTGTTCACGAAATTTGGCGGCTGGGATTAATCCGAACAATTTCTCAGAGCACTCCCCATTGTATATGCGAAAGAAAATGCAAAGAGATGCAACATCTCTTCGCAGCACCTGTGAATCGAGCCGATCGGAAAGCGCTCGGTCGTCAACGATTCGAGTCGCTTTTACTAGAAACTAGGCATTCCATGTAAGTACTCAGGGTTGACAACGCATCTGAACTTTGATTGTTAATCCAGGACAGATGTAGATGTCTCATGGCCACAGCATCCGCGATATGGCAGTCACCGTTAGATGGACTACGTGCTCGTTTGTCACTCTTATTCTATAAACAAATAGGTATGCTGCAACTCATGGACACCTGCAACAAACTTCAAACAAAAAATGTCACGGTGCTTGGTCACCTACAAGGATACAGAATCTTAAAGCCCTTCAGATCGGAACGCAGCCGTGCACGGCCTGCAGCTTAGCCGCAGAAGTAGTTAAGAGCGTGGCATTTTGGTAACTGCCTCTAAGTATTAACATCTCGTTGGTCTAATGTGCGTCTGTTAATCATGGGGTCCCAAATTCTAAACGCGAATCGAGCTAAAATAGGTCATAGAAGTTTTCTGGCAAGAAATTCGTAGTAAGGGCCCAGAGTGAAGAAGTTAGCGGTGTTTTATCTCATTGCCTCGGAAAGCATGTAAAACCGTTTGGTCCCACACCTGAACTTCCGCTGGTCGTGTCAAATTAACGTACCATAGTATTGATGGTGAGGGTAGTGCACCTGCGCACTATTGGACTTAGATTCTATCCTGTGCAGGTAGCTAGTCTCCATTCAGACTGGCCGCTTGATCGAGATTCGATCTGGAGGCCAATATTATTATATTAACTTTGAACCCTTTGGCGATTTCAGGACAGATCCTGCCATTAGTGAAGCTTATGATTACTGTCGACGGCGTCCACCTGGAGACAGTGAACTACGGCACGAAGAGGGATGAGTTCGAGCACATGTCGGTCTTCTTCAACATCGAGTCTATCTCCTACGGTGTGCAAGACCTCGTGTATACTAGGGTGTTCTCCATGATTATTGTGAAGGACAACGCCGACGTGAAGGGATTAAATCCATTCGAATGTCACGCGTTTGTCTGTGAATCCAGGTATGAAGACGTTTATACTAGACGACATGTTTTTAATAATTTCCTAAGTTTACGCAAAAATGGTATAAGAATATGCACTACCCCATATCAGGCCGTCGTAAGATGCGAGAGATGGAAACAAATCAAGAGATGGGCAGCAGCGACTTGCAACTATGGTCAATATGAGGCCATGAACATATAGACTTTAATAGGCTGTAACTTTCATATAAGTGTAAAGGTTAAGAAGGCGCACGCGGAAGTTTTTAACGAATAAAGTTACTATAACTACATTGCCGTCACTCTCTCATCACATTTTTAATTAACGCCCACCATTTAAGAGTACTAGTGTCCTAATTATTTTGCAACTGTTAAACTATATAAAATATAATACAGTTTATTTGCACCTAGTTATAATTTATAATATTACACGGATGCTAGAGGGGCGCTGATGAGGTGCTAGCCTAGGGTGCTGTCGACCCTGGGAACTGACGGACTTTTCGAGTTCTTCGTAGTAATCTTAGTCACAAGAGTACTGAGATCAGTTCCGCCGTGACTATGGGTGCTGTAAAGCACTCAGTCCAGAGTAAAGAACAAGTTAAACTAAACGTGATAAAATTAAAAAAAATAATTGTTTTATTCGATGAATTCTGTTACCAGTGCAACAGTCATGATGAATTGAAGACCCTGTTCTTGCTCCGCGTTCGGTTATGATTGTATAGCGAAACTAGAATAAATCTCAGTAACAGTCTGGAGACACGAAGTTGGCAGTATTTAACCGTGCCTCGCAAAGCACGTAAAGCTGTTGGTCTTACACCTGATCTCTTTTCGGTATCATTGGGTTGCCATCTCATGCACAATGATAGTGAGGGCATAGAGGGTGCAAATGTGACACATTCCCGTACACTATACATATATCTCCTATATAATCCTGTCCTGCGCAAATGGCTATTCTCTGTTGAGACTGACTGCTGCGACCTAAATTCGGACATAATTCTGATTACTGATACGGCGTACGATCAATCAAGGAGTGGTCCGTGGGAATATCAGAATTGACACATATTGAGTGCACTGATATGTCTACAAAGTAAACATGTCTAACGATATATTTAGATTGCTATTTTGATCTAGTTTAGGCACTTTAGGTGTCTGATATGATACATTATAAGTGGCACTCGGAGATAGACACACAGTAAACTTCTTAAAAAGTTATCTTACATACCTTACCGTATCTTAGATAAACTACACTATTGACTACAACGTCAATCATTGAGATATGAAGACATGTTGGATAACCACTTGTGTTTCTACGTAAAATACGCCTCTGCATGATATATCTAGGTCTTAGCATCTTATTAGATATTAGAAAATAGCAACATATCTTTTGGTCTTAAATTAGATAATATTAAATCTCATTTGCGGCGAAAAGTTATATAGCTTTTTTCCCCATTTTGTCTGACTAATTGTCTACCGATGTGTGATGGTAATGTAAAAGGTGCGACGCATCTAGTATCTCATATAGAAACAGTGTCATACATCTGTTACCCATGAGACTCATGTGGAGCAGTTACGGACTGACGAAGGGAAAATAAAATAAAATAAAATAAAAAACAAATAAAATACAATAATAAATTAAATTTTGTAATGTTTTCTTACATTTACGTAAACACTACACATTGATTTAAACTAATTATACGAATTTTATCGCGTTTAATTTATTTGATTTTTAATTACCGACGTTTCGGGTGCTTTTCAGCACCCATGGTCACGGGGGACTGAGGTGACTGACGTCCCGATGTTAGTGTGGCAGTGGAAGGAAAAGGGGAGATCTCCCGCCGGGCAAGGTGTTCTGCCCGGGGAGCGGCCAACACTCCATGTGATATTTCGGAGATGTTCTATATATGCTTTTTATGATTCGGAATGTTGATAGCGTGATTTAGGCTTCGGTGTGTTTTGCTTGCGGCGCGATGACAGCGCTGCCACATCACCCCCTGCTCATACCGGAGGTCGATAGTGCAGTCAGATTGCCGGTGTGTCCTTTTAATGCCGGTGGGGAATGCATGCTGTGTGCGTAAGGGCAAGTGACACCGGTGCAAATAATATGCCGATGTGTAATGCATGCCGTACTACGCACTGGCAAGTGATGCCGGTGAGAACGATGTGCCGGAGCAAGTGCCAGAAGTCTGCCTTATAAATCTGCGGTGAGTCGAGATGAAGACAAGTTGGACTGGCTTGCAGGAACTGAAGACTGCAGAAGACGATTCTCAATAGTGAATGGTAGGAGTTCTTGAGGATAATACCGAAGGCTTGAAGTTGTAGTTTCCGAAGGTTGTTGGTTGCGTGTTCGGATCACGTCGGGTGGTCACCACTGTGGCCGTAGAAGGAAAAGGGGAGATCTCCCGCCGGGCAAGGTGTTCTGCCCGGGGAGCGGCCGACACTCCATGTGATAGTTCGGAGATGTTCTATATATGCTGTTTATGATTCGGAATGTTGATAGCGTGATTTAGGCTTCGGTGTGTTTTCGCTTGTGGCGCGATGACAGCGCCGCCACATTAGTATTAACCCAGAGTACCTTAAGCTTTTTTAATTATTATTTATGGTCCGATCTACGCAGAATGAACGAAACTATCTTGAAGTCTTATAGTGGTATGCTTGGGTCTAGTTTTAATTTTATTTATAACAGAACCCCAAGCAAGTGGTTGTACCCAGCCTCCTTCTCTATTGAAATTAGGACGTTTTATAATTTCAATAGCCTCACGTATTCATCCTTGGTGGGAATCGATGTTATGTCGCGAGGATTTATGGTCTATCAAATCTGATGTAGGTAATTGCGGGGATCGTCTAGGTAGTCTGCAGTTTGTGATCATATGATACTTCCCGGAACGTTAGTGCTTCACAGCTATATATGTTCTTTTACGCGGATTCTAATTGATCTTTTTGTTTGCCCTATATATGAGATACCACATTCACTATCAAGCCTTTATACTTCTGCATCTTATAGAGGGATATTACACTTGACGGAAGGTAAGACACGACTAATCTTCTTCGATGGCTTGTAGAATGTTCTAATGGAAACTCGATTTAAGATGTAGCAAATCTTGTCTGTGACACTTCTGACATATGGTAGTATAACAGGCTCACGCTTGACTGTGGCCGGCTTTACTCGGTAACTGTGATGTAGGCGCAGGAAGCTTGTTGTCGTACAGGACTTGCTTGACGTGCTGAAGTTCGATGGCCAGGTGTTTGCTGTCACAGATCCCTCGTTCTCTCTGTAACAAAGATTTGCCCACGGTAGCTAACTGTGAAGGATGACGGTGATATTTACCGTTTAAATATCGGTTTGTATAGGTCTTTTTTTCCATTCACAACGTGACTTATGGTGTTGTTAGGATTTTGGATGACTAACACATTTAGGAAGGCTAAGGAATTATTTGCATCTAACTATATTGAATTTTAGTGTTTATGGAATTAAGATGTTCTAAAAATGCACTTACTTTGTCTGACGCTAAAATACGTACCGATTTTAGAACTTTGGTGTTACAGGTGCAGTAAGGAGGGCTTTTTCTTCAGTCTTACGTGAATATATCAGCGACAATGGGTGATACATGTGAGCCCATTGCAACCCCATCTATTTGCTTGAAAAACTCTTCCTTCCATAGTAGATAAATATTTCAATTTCTCTGACTAGATCGAACCATATATATATATATATATATATATATATATATATATATATATATATGGTTCGATATATATATATATATATATATATATATATATATATATATATGTGTGTGTGTGTGTATAGCGTAAGAAAATTGATTTAACTTTTCGCAAATATATACTCATATAAATATTCTGTATGAGTCTCTCACTTTAAGTTATTGGCAATATAAAATCTAAGAATTTCGTTACTTCGATTTCATTAACGATCTCACCTTCGTTATTAATGTTAAGCAAATCGAGGTCCAATTTCGTTGATTTAAAAATCATTATTTGAGTCTTTTTTAAGTTTATTACTTATGTCTGTACATGTAAACACCATAGAGCTATTACCTGCGAATAGAGTCATAGGAAAGTTTATGCTGATAGATAAGTTGTTAATTTATACTAAAAATAATAAGGGACCAACAACGCTTCTTTGAGGAATACCGAAATTTGAAGATCGAGGAAAATACTAATAAATATCATTAGTCATTGTGAATACATAACACTTCTAATAAATCCAATAAATTCATAAATCTAATAAGTTCAATAAATGAGAAAAATCCAATAATTTCAATAATTCTAATAAATATAATCACCGTGTAGTAGTGTAGTAAGAGAATCCACGCCCTCATATTATCATAAATGAAAATAACCTCTGGGAATGAGGTGATCGAAAACGGCGGAATCAATGCCATATGGCATTTCTGCCAGCCAAACGAAAACTTAGTGAGAGAAGTGTGTACTGCAGTGGATTAGTGCGAAGAAAGCACAACATATTTTGGTACAGTTGAAAACTAAAACTACTTTTACGGATTTATCGCGTTTAATTTACCTAATTTTTAATTCCATCCATAAATCCAACCCTTGGTCACGGGGGACTGAGATGACACGTCACGGTGTTATTATTAACCTAGAGTACGTTCGGTTTTTTAATTATTATTTATGGTTCGATCTAGTCAGAAAAATTGAAATATTTATCTATTATGGAAGGAAGAGTTTTTCAAGCAAATAGATGGGGTTGCAATGGGCTCACATGTATCACCCATTGTCGCTGATATATTCACGAAAGACTTTGAAGAAAAAGCCCTCCTTACTGCACCTGTAACACCAAAGTTCTAAAATCGGTACGTATTTTAGCGTCAGACAAAGTAAGTGTAAGTATATATGAGATACCACATTCACTATCAAGCTTTTATACTTCTGCATCTTATATTATTAGGCGTTTATATATATAGTATATATATAAACGCCTGTCACCCAGAGGGGTAGGCAGAGACTACGGACTTCGATTTGGCACGATCCTGACATACATCTTTCGCCTCCTTTACATCCATATATCTACGCATACATGCTCGTCGGGTTACTTGTTAAGGGTTAAGGGTACTTCTAACGTGGCCCATTTTCAAAATATCGCCAATTTGGTCGATAAACTTTCTTCTAGGGCGTACCTTCCCGACTCTGCCGCTCACATCTGCCATATAAATTTGCTTTGTCACTCTTTTCTCATTCATTCTTTCTACGTGACCAAACCACCGAAGCATTCCTTTCTTAATCCTAGTGCCACAACCACATTTATCGCTCTACGCTCTACATGTACTCGTATTATCCAAACTAGTGAATGAAGATGCTTTACGGACGGTATATCAAGGCTTTGAATTTTCTACTGTGCGCTACGGTGTAATCTTTTGGGTCAATGCTAAAAGACGCGAAAATAATATATTTAAAGCACAAAAAATTGTGTACGTGCTAACGCAAATATACCAAGTACAGAGAGCTGTAAACCGCAATTTAAAAAAAAAATGTTGATATTTCCCGCGCTGCATATTTATGAAGTTGTGACATTTGTAAAACTAATCCACACAGTTTGTAAAAAATAAACCATCGACATAAAAATAAAATTCATAAAATTATATTTTTATATATATATATATATATATATATATATATATATATTAATTATATATCGACGACTACTTAGAACAACACTACAATAAAGTTTCATCATCAATCTAACAAATATCTAATTGGGAAATGCTACTATTCAATTAATGAGTAGTACCCGGTTGACCAAGCTTTGCTCGGTATTGTTCGCCCGTTTTTTTTTAATTCGTGTGTTTTGGAAATTATAATATTTAGATACAAATTACATACTGATGAAATACGAATAATATTTTTTGATCTTAGCGACATAATAGAAAAACTGAACTGGTTATTTGAATAAAAAATACTACTTATACTTATACTTATCTTCACGCACAATCCCTAACGGGGTAGCCAGAGAGAACAGATCGCCAAGAGTCACGATCCTTACATACCTCTTTCTCTTCTTTTTGAATAAAAAATCATGAGTGCAATTAGTTTAATTTAAATTTTCGTGTTTTTAAAAATACTAAAAAAAGGGCTCGAAAAAATAGATTTTCTCAAAAAAGAAAAGAACTTGAAAAAGAAATTAAAAAAAGTCAGTCGGTCGGTCTGGGTTCGAACCATGGTATTACGATTATGTGACCACCCAATATACCAATTAAGCTATTTGTAATCATTAATATTTTGTCGAAATTTACCTTCTTGTTCTAACGATATTGTAGCAGTTTTTCATATTATTAACGGACAAAAAGACTTTTTCTAAAAATAAATCCTAGCTAGATCGATTTATTGCCCCCGAAACTCCCTGCACACAAAATTTTATGAAAATCGTTAGAACCGTTTCCGAGATTCCGATTATATATATATATATATATATATATATATATATATATATATGTATGTATGTATACAAGAATTGCTCGTTTAAAGGTATAGGATAGGATTTAAGCGACGCATCATTAGGCATATTTAACTTTTTGACATTTGAATATACTATATGTATGTGTTGTAAATATCCTATTCTAATTAATTATATAATTAATTTACATTATTGTTAAACATTCTAATATAATTATAATATAGAAAATATAATGAAATAATTCAATTGTAGAGCTATATGTAGTAGATTTAACTGTGACTATATTATTTGTATACCTAAGGGTTGAATGCGGTGAACATTTTTTAAAGATCTATTCTGACTTCTGTACATGTAACCACAAATAAATAAATTTGAATTTGAAATTTGAACTAGATACGAAACATTGTAGAATTTTACTTTATAATAATTTTATTTATCTTCAGGAATGCCGCAAGACGACTTACATACTCATTAGCGGCGGCGTTTCAAGATTATTCTAGAAGAGTTAAGGAAATGCAGGCTGCCCCAGGTAACCATTATTATCTATAGTTATACTTGCATAGATATAACCACTCGGTAAGGAAAGTGTATGGCGGTTTCTCACTAGATGGAGTGACTTAAAGTCGATAGATGCAGGTGAGTAAGGACCGAGCTTTGCGGTAATCCTCGGGGAGACCTGTGTTCAGTAGTGGACTTGTGAAAGGTTGCAGTGATGATAACGACCAGAAACGGGGTCTCTGGTATACAGGTTAATAACGATGGCGGTTTAGGATCCCGGGCGTAGCTAAAACTTCCCCCAGGACGTAGTAAATACGTAAAATAATGGAGGTGCCTTAGTTTCAAACAAAATCTTGAAATATATCTGCTTATGCTGTTTCTAAATGTTTTCGTACTTATGCTTCTGTACTACTAGATGTTATGTTGTAAATTAATGTTTAATAAAAAAGTCCCGTTGGGTTTCTTTCTATTTCCGGGACAGAGGTTATTTCCAAACCAGTAGTAAAGCTTAAATGACTTTCAATGAGTATTACTGTAATCTATATTGAATAAAAATTATTGTATTCTATTCGTATTGCGGAGCGCCTGCTTCCGTGCTACTAGCAATCTGCCATCACGCAATGTGTTGCTTGAAGACCAATCGCAGTGCATTATTATTTTTTGTTTACCTTCCATATATATTTATAATATTGGAGAAATATGATAGTTTTTGAGAAACATTTTACTGATATACCGATCTTAACCACTAAGTCACTAAATTCTTCTGCTGCCGTTGCCAAATCATTACTTAATCAGAACCTAAACGCGTGTTCAAAGTATGTTAGGACTACATTTCATATAGTATCATCCAAATTTATTGTAAAATATTTTAAAACAATATTAAGGAACCTGCAGATCTGTGAGGGATTTCCGTTAAAGTGCATCAGTGATAGATACAATCGCACCTCAACTAGCTATTATTTTAATATTAGTATCAAATCTGGTGTGTTTCCTGATTTAATGAAGGATAGTAAAGTGATACCTTTATTTAAATTTGATTGTATATTGGACCCCGCCAATTTCTGTACTGATAGCACTAGTAAAGTTTTTTTTTTAAAAGTATTCTTACTCAAATGTAAATTTTTTAATGTAAAAATTTACTTCATTTCACAAGGGGTTACTCGACAATTGATGCTGGTGTTGAGCTGATTAAATATATCTTCAATGCATGGGAGAATTCACAGGATGCTTTGGGTACATTCTGTGGCCTATCCAAAGCCTTTGATTGTGTTCACTGTAAAACATTAATCAGGAAACTTTAACACTACGGTGTTCATAGTAATACTCTTACATTAATTATTTCATATTTAAGTAATACTTAGGCTGCACTAAAAGTATCAGGAATGGAATATTTCCACTGTTCCTGTCATATTAAAATCTTTTTAATTGAAAACTCCTTGGTTTTAAAAATCGAATACCATTTATTATTTAAAAAAAAGATTCTCGGTCTTGTCACAAGGTTTTGTCAATCTTGTTTAGTCGTTGAGAAAATGGAATTGACTCGAGAAAGTTCAAGAGCGATGATTTATTATGACTTTCGAAGTGGCTTAACACAAAAACAGTGTATTGACCGGATGATTTCTGCATTTGGTGATGAAACCCCATCCAAAACCACAGTTTATCGCTGGTTTGCTGAAGTTCAATGTGGACGTGTCAAGCTCAGTGATGATCCCCGTCAAGGTCGTCCAAAAACTGCAGTCATCCAAGAAAACGTTGATGCTGTGCGTAAGCTGATTGAGGGAGATCGACATGTGACATACCGCGAAATTCAAGCAACTTTAGACATTGGCATGAGTCAAATACAAATAATCTTGCATGAACAATTAGGTGTAAAAAAGTTGTTTCCCCGATGGATACCGCATTCGCTCTGTGAAGAGCAAAAAGCGGCTCGCGTTACTTGGTGCGTCAGAACTCTCGGAAGATTCCACGTAAGATCCTCAAATGCTATATACAACATCGTATCAGGTGACGAATCCTGGATACATGCGTACGAACCCGAAACAAAAAACCAGTCACGAGTTTGGGTGTTCGAAAATGAGTTAAAGCCAACAAAAATTGTTCGTTCACGGAGTGTTGCAAAAAATATGGTGGCCATATTTGTCTCCAAAACCAGCCATGTTACGGCTCTTCCTCTTGGGGGACAAAGAACGGTTAATGCAGAATGGTATGCTAGCATTTGTTTGCCACAGGTCGTTTCTGAACTCCGTAAAGAGAACTGCAACCGCCGCATCATCCTCCATCACGACAATGCGAGTTCTCACACCGCACACAGAACAAAAGAGTTTTTAGAGCAATAAAACATATATTTATTAGACCATCCGCCGTACAGCCCCGACCTAAGCCCTAATGATTTCTATACTTTCCCTAAAATAAAGAATAAATTGCGTGGGCAGAGATTTTCATCACCTGAAGAAGCTGTGGACGCCTACAAAACGGCCATTTTGGAGACCCCAACTTCCGAATGGAATGGTTGCTTCAATGATTGGTTCCATCGTATGGAAAAATGTGTCAAATTTCACGGAGAATACTTCGAAAAGCAATAAATACATTTTTAAATAGTAATGTTGTGTCACTTCCTTGATTCCCGAAATTTTCAGTGCCGCCCTCGTAGAACGCAAAAAGTTGTTATTAACAGTATGAGCTCTTCCGGGTCGATAGTACAAATGGACGTACCTCGGCGCTCAATTTTCGGCCCCTTTTCTTTTATATACTAATGACTTGCCTTACATAGCAGGGGATAACCATGATAAAGTATTATTTGCTGGTGATGCATTAATTTTCAAATTAAAACAGCAGTAACTAAATTATGACGAATTAAGTAATGCTATATCTAAATTAGTAAATTGGTTTAATGTTAATAATTTGCATTTAAATTGCATTTAAACTAAATGTATGTAATTCATAGCTCTGTATGTCAAACATGTTAGTATAAACGTAATTTTGAATGGAGAGGGGCTGAGTCTTGTTGATACCACCATTATTCTTGGAATCATACTAAACGCAAAGCTTCAATGGGGCTCAAATGGAGATATCAAAACTAGGATGCAGATTTAGTTCTACAGTATATGCAGTAAAAAAGAATAGAAGTCTTACCAATGTCGAAAAGTTTACTTTAGTACTTTATCAGGCTGTAATGGATTAATTAATATACAATAAATTGTGCTTGTAATTTGTGCATACACGTACGAAGTGAAACTTCTTTATTGCATGTCTTTCTTTTTTATTGTATTACTCATGCAGCTCCGATGGTAAAACGTTTTAAGAAAGCATTTATTTTTAAATACCGTTCTGAATTTCTTCAATACGTCGATAAAAAGTTTCACTTCAAAAAAGTAATTTAAAAAATCATTAAAAGATCTTTTCTTTTCAGATTTAGATGAGAGGCCGCCAAATTTAAAGAAACGGTTCGCAATAGACCTGAGGACACCTGAAGAAATAGAAGCTGATTTCGAGACGGAGGCATAACTGTGACCAAAGATTAAACGCACTGGTTAAACATAATATAGATATATGTTTAGCCTGTAATCCCGGAAGGTGGTAGGCAGAGTTCTAAGCAGTGAGCTACTCGTATTACGTTTAGCCAAAAAGTATGGGTTTAGGCAAAGACTTTTATGTATACTTATATACTACTATCATATGTGTAAAGAAAGCGACCAACTAGACATATGCGGCGCGGGCGTTATGAAAATACGCAGCAGAAAATAAGCAGTTGTATTTACATTCACTACAGTTATTGCTTTTAAGCAAATACGAAATAAAATTACATACTTATCTGAAATGTTCTACAAATCACGCTCACAAAGTACAAACATAAACGACAGCGTTTTCTTAGTTATACAAAATCAGTGTTAGTTTGTCGAAAACAACGTTCGCGTACATAAAAGTCTTTGGCTTAAACCTAGTTGAATTAATGCAAGGTATCAGTGTAAATGAAAAAAATAATATATCTTACAGACGATACTATCTAATATATAAAATATATAAAGGTATCTTTAATTTATTATAAAAACATATAATTTATTTTTAGCCGACTTTCAAAAAGGAGGTGGTTTACAATTCGTATGTTTTTGTGTGTATGTTACGAGATATCTTTGTCTCAATCAATTTGGATGATTCTTGATGCACTAAATGGGAACTTCAGGAATAGTTTCATATATTTTTAGAAAAAAGAATCCAAAATGGTGTCAATGTAATTTCACATTCTGTAGTCGGGTGTCCAATTCTTCTATAAACTGTATCTCATAAATAATTAATATATGTATGTTATTTTATTCTTTTTTAGTTCTTTGCAGTCGGTTTTTTTTAATATATAAAAAGGTTAATATTACAAAAAATTAAAATAATCACTTCAATAGGGACCAGGATCAACTAGGAAAGCTGTAGCTGTGAATATATTTGTTCATAAAATCCTACTACTGAAATCGGTTGAGCTCTCTTCAGCCGCTTAAACACTCACACACGCACAGACACACGCGCGCGCGCGCACACGCACACACACACATACACACAAACACACACACACACACACACACACACACACACACACACACACACACACCGCACGCACGCACGCATGCACACGCACACGCACACGCGCACACACACACACACACACAGGCGCGCGCGCACACGCACGTGCACGCATTTTTATTAATGCTAATTTTAAACTAATAATTATTGAGGTAAAAAAACACCACATTTTATTACATTCTTACACCGTCATGCGATTCTTAGCTCATCAGAAAGTTGGTTAAAAATCAATTACTAAGCTCAACCCAAACTAACATAGACGGAAGTGAGTTAGAACAAATGTGATAAAAACTGCCTCGATGGTCTAGTAGTTGTAAGCGAGACTGCTGGTAGCGCCTTAAGTTCGAATCTTGGGTTTTTCTTTTAAGAAATTCTCAGCAGCAGCTCGGAGCAAGGAAGTTAGTGGTGTTTCTACCCCGGGGCCCTAACCGCGTAAAGCCATTGATCCTGCGCGTGTTCTCTCTCAGGTCGTGTCGATTTACCGTTCCATCGGACTATGAGAGTGAGGGAATAGAGTGTACCTGTGCTTGCGCATGTACTTGGG